TAATATAAACATATTTTACGTGCAACATGACACACCCGTCTACAGAGGAAACATTACATCATTCAATGCTTTGCTTAAATTCCCTTAGGGTTTGCACAAGTCGCATGCCTGAGTGTACTAAAATATATGACCTTGAACTTCACTCTCACGACGCTGCTCCCACCGGTGCCCGAGACGTTAATTCTCGCACGTACGATTTCAACCTATACGTCATAGTGGCGGTGTTGTTTGCTGGTGATAGATTAAGATTTGCACATAGACTTTATGTTTGTCCATATTTCTCTCCTTTCGTCCACAACAATTTAATGCAATTGTGCTGATTGCCCGGAGGTACTGTCAGAAAAATTGAGTAGAGATGTGCGACCCGCACCCAAAACCCTTACCCTATTTAAGACCAAACTCTGCGATTTTAGAAACTCTCTTTATGACCTAACCAAAAATTTGATACTCTTTTAAGACCTGACCCTTACATCAATACCTTTTAGTCAAACCTGCCTCATAATTAGTTCCGCAGCTTAGACCGATGTTTAAGGCATTGGGAAGGGCTTTTGTTGATAATCTTATCGATAAAGCTGAAATATCTCAGCTTCGTCTTAAAAAAAAAAAAACATACCCATGTCAAGACTAGAGAACAGAACCCATGCCCTATTTGAGATCAAAATGGCCAAAATCGCTACCCTATTTCTAACCAAACCGGCTAAAGAATCATACCCTTTGGGGTCGCACATACCTATATGGCCCATATAGGGGAGTAGCCCCTTCCCCCGGAGGGGCTGGGCGATATTAACGGTATCTATAGGAACGAAATGAGATAATTCAAAGTGCAAAGGCATTTTTGCGTCTACATGCATTAAGTCACGGTTTTTTACCTGTCAATCAATAAAACCCTTATAAAAACCGTTGTAAGCCTTGGCACTCAAACACAAAACGTATTTCTCGGTCACAAGAGGGGCTTGTAGGTACGTTTGGGAACTATTAGTTCAGTGGTATAATCCTACATTGTGGATCAAAGTTGTTTTTACCCGTTAGAAAAAGGAAAAAGTTTTGATACAACAGTAAGTACTAAATTAAAAACTTTTCTTTTCGAAATCTGTAAATCCTTTTAGTGACTGCTTAAAATTTGTATGTACGTATTTTTAGGATTTTTCTCTCTCTACGATTTTTATTTGATAATTCAGTTATCTAGTGGGTCCTAGTGCATCTACGAATGCGCTCTCTTGATAAAAATTGCTCTAAATACACTAACATTTAGATTACAATAGCGTTGTAAGAATCGAATTATCTAGCGGTGATGAAAAACAGGCACTTAGTACTTTGAAAGCCATTTTTCTCATTTTTTTTCTTCTACTGAAGTCTGAAGTAACGCAATTCTTACATTTACGTTACGCGCCACATTAGAATCCAAAGCTAAAGTCGTCAGTTCGGATACAGTATCTTCGGGTAGAAGAATTAAATACACGCTTTTAACCTAAAGAGATTAGAATCAAAGTCATAGGACAAACGATCTTTGCAAATTCACCAAAACCAATCATTCAATTCTAACTCACAACCTTTGAAAAGCGTGACAGTTTTCATAGGTACGCATGTCGTGCAAAGTCAACATAACACAAGGTCAACTTTACTCGACAACCCTCTTGACAGTTGTCCGTTACTCGTACAGCAATGAAAACGAACGGACAGGTTAAGGACTCTGAGCCAACTTCTACAATGTCCAGGGTGAAAAGAGTTTTGTTTGCGGATTTTGTTGGCCTAAAGCTTGAGTTTGTAAGAACCATTACACCTTCCAGCAGCGAAGACAACTTATGTACACTAGAGGACGTGTTATGGAAAACCAACTGTGACGACACTAAGGCACCAAGAAAGCGGGTGAAATGTCTGTACCCGTGTTTCGTTCAACCTTCAGAATCAACAGACAGTTTCATGAAGAGGGTTTACAGCCAGAATGTGTGCCTCGAGTACATCGTGTGCAATAACTTAGTTATCACCGGGCTTATTCGGGTGACAAATTTATCTTACATGAAAGAGGTGACTGTCAGATTTACACTTAATGGATGGGAGACGTATCGAGACATTTGGGCGGATTTCATGTCCACTTGTTTGGATGGCAGAACAGAAACGTTTAGTTTTCGTATCTCAATACCTCATGACTTTGAAGTAAATCGGTATATGGAGTTCGCAATTCGCTATCGCGCCTCAGACAATGAGTTTTGGGATAATAATGGCCGTAACAATTACCAAGTTCGGTGTTCAGAAAGGCTCCTTTTACAAACGGAATAAAACGATAAAACGAGATTGCTTCTATGCAACAGAGCGACCATGGCTGGCATGTGCTTTTCGAGCCGGCCTTTCTGATTTATCCGAGAAAAGCAGGTTGACTAGAAATGTTTCTTAGACATTGTTTATGAACACTTCCCTTAAAAAAATTAGTTGTACCAATATAACAATCTAAACATTTCCCCTTGAGAACTACAAAGTGTGTATCCTCCGACAAATTTCGTTGAGTCTTAGCCCTTTGCATAGACAGACAATTGTTATTTCTGTAAAGCAAGAAGGCTTCCGGTCTTTGTTATTTACATTATCTCTGTAAAAACGTGCACGATATCATGGTCATACATATTTCTCCAACGTCTTCATTATTTAGTTTGTCACACTGATCTTGATATTTTTCACTTGGTCGGAAAATACATTAGTCACAGTTTGAAAACCGTATCATACGTAACTTGAAATGCTATGCAAAATACATACTTAAGAAAACAAGTCAACATCAAGACATTCGCCTTTGTATTCAGGAAATAATTTTGCAATAATAAATTAGCAAGAAGTCAACAGTCAGTCAACCATGTTGTAAACGGTTAGTTTATCTCACTGTGATGTAGACTGAGTCGGTCAAAATTAAAAATAATGTAGATTGTATTTCTTTATGTTGTATTCCGTAGGAAATGCTGAAATATTTATGTTCATGTCATCTATGGTCATGTCATGTATTTTAGGCAACTGCAATTGCTAAAACAACTGCCACTGACTAAACATCTACAACACACACTGGCTGTACAACATCAGGTATAAACTCGACTACTGCTAACCACTGCTAGAGGGTTTAGAATTAGTTGTATATATGGATGTATAAGCATTAATAGAGTTAAAGAGGGTGGAATAAGTAGTGACAGTTGAAGACAGTTATCAAGTTAATGATATTGGTTATGCTTTTAAGAGATGAGAGAGCAGCTAGAGTTTCTGTTAGTAAAATAGTTAATCTAAAAATTATGAATTAAACCATAAGAAGTGATGTCAAATACATTTCTAAGGTAATGTAGAAGTGAACTTACAAAAGACAGTACTTAAAGTTCGGGTGATTGAGTTAAGTTCAGAAAATTTAGTTACAGTTGAATTGTAGGAGATGGACTAAGCAGTGCTGTAATTAGCCACAGTTGTAAAGAAAAACATGGAGTAAGTGGTGGCGTATGTAGTCACAGTTGTAGAGTAAGAGATGGTGTAAGTGGTGGTGTAATTACTCACAGTGGTAGAGTAAAGGATGGTGTAAATAGTGTTGTAATCACACACAGTTGTGGATTAAGAGGTGGTGTAAGTGGTTAAGTAATTAGTCAAAGTTGCAGAGTAAGAAGGTGGAGTAAGTGGTGATGTAATAAGTCACGGTTGTAGATTAAGAGCTCCAGTAAGTGGTGGTTTAATTAGTCACAGTTGTAGAGTTAGAGATGGTGTAAGTTGCTGTGTAATTAGTGACAGTTGTAGAGTAAGAGATGGTGTAAGTGGTAGTGTAATTGGTCACAGTTGTAGAAGAAGAGATGGTGTAAGCGGTAATGTAATTAGTGACAGTTGTAGAATAAGAGATGGTGTAAGTGCTAGTGTAATTACACACAGTTGTAGAGTAAGAGCTAGATTAAGTGGTGGTGTAATAAGTCACAGTTTTAGAGTAAGGCACAGTGTAAGTGCTAGTGTAATTAGTCAGAGTTGTAGAGGAAGAGAGAGAGTAAGTGGTAGTGTAATGAATGACAGTTGGAGAGTAAAAGATGTTGTAAGTGGTGGTATAATAAGTCAGAGTTGTAGATTAAGAGCTGGAGTAAGTGCTGATGTAATAAGACAGAGTGGTAGAATCTGAGATGGAGTAACTGGTACTGTAATTAGTCACAGATGTAAAAGTAAGAGATAGTGTAAGTGGTGGTGTAATTGGTCACAGTTTTAGAGTAAGAGGTGGAGTAAATGGCGGTGTAATTACTCACAGTGGTAGAGTAAGAGATGGTGTGAGTGGTGATGTAATTGGTCACAGTTGTAGAGAAAGAGATGGTGTAAGTGGTGATGTAATTAGTCACAGTGGTAGAGTAAGAGATGGTGTAAGTGGTGATGTAATTGGTCACAGTTGTAGAGTAAGGGGTGGAGTAAAGGGTGGAGTAATGAGTCACAGTTGTAGAGTAAGAGATGGTGTAAGTGGTGATGTAATAAGTCACAGTTGTAGATTAATAGCTGGAGTAAGTAGAAGTGTAATGACTCACAGTTTTAGTGTAAGAGATGGTACAAGTAGTGGTGTAATTGGTCATAGTTATAGAGTAAGAGGTGGAGTAAAAGGTTGAGTAATAAGTCACAGTTGTAGAGTAAGAGATGGTGAAAGAGGGGTTGAATTGACCAAAATTGTTGAGAACGAGATCGAGTAAGTGGTGGTGTAATTGGTCACAGTTGTAGAGTAAGAGGCGGAGTAAAGGGTGGAGTAATGAGTCAGTTGTAGAGTAAGAGATGGTGAAAGAGGGGTTGAATTGACCAAAATTGTTGAGAAAGAGATCGAGTAAGTGGTGGTGTAATTGGTCACAGTTGACGAGTAAGAGATGGTGTAAGTGGTACTGTAATTAGTGACAGTTGTAGAGTAAGAGAAGGTGTAAGTGGTGGTGTAACTGGTCACACTGGTAGAGAAAGAGATGGTGTAAACGGTGGTGTAATAATTCACAGTTGTAGATTAAGAGCTGGAGTAAACAGTAGTGTAATAAGTCAAAGTTGTGGAGTTAGAGAAGGTGTAAGTGGTCGTTTAATTGGTCACAGTGGCAGAGGAAGAGATGGTTTAGGTAGTGGTGCAGTAAGTCACAGTTGTAGAGTAAGAGATGGTGAAAGAGGGGTTGAATTGACCAAAATTGTTGAGAAAGAGATTGAGTAAGTGGTGGTGTAATTGGTCACAGTGGTAGAGGAAGACATCGAGTAAGTGGTGGTGTAATTTGTCATAGTTGTAAAGGAAGAGATGGTGTAAGTGGTGGTATAATAAGTCACAGTTGTAGATTAAGAGCTGCAGTAAGTAGTAGTGTAATAAGTCACAGTTGTTAATTAAAAGGTGGTGTAATTGGTCACAGTTGTGGAGTAACAGATGGAGTGAGTAGTGGTGTAATTAGTCACAGTTGTAGAGTAAGAAATGGTGTAAGTGGTGGTGTAATTGGTGACAGTTGTAGAATATGAGGGGGAGTAAGTGGTGGTGCAATTAGTCACTGTTATAGAGTAAGAGATGGAGTAAGTGGTGGCACAACTAGTCACAGTTGTAGAGTAAGAGAGGGTGTAAGTGGTGGTGTAATCTATTACAGTGGCAGAGAAAGAGATGGTGTAAGTGGTGGTGTAATAATTCACAGTTGTAGATTAAGAGCTGGAGTAAGTAATAGTGTAATAGGTCACAGCTGTAGTGTAAGAGATGGTGTAAGTGGTGCTGTAATAAGTCACAGTTGTAAATTAAGAGCTAGAGTAAGTAGTAATGTAATAAGTCACTGCCAGTTGTACAGTAAGAGATGGTGTCAGTGGTTCCTTGATTGATCACTGTGGTAGAGAAAGCGATGGTGTAAGTGGTGGTGTAATTGGTCAGAGTGCTGGACGAAGAGATAGTGTAGGTGGTGGTGTAATAAGTCACAGTTGTAGATTAAGAGCTGGAGTAAGTAGTAGTGTAATAAATCGCAGTTATAGAGTAAGAGGTGGTGTAAGTTGTGGTTTAATTGGCCACAATTGTAGAGAAAGAGATCGAGTAAGTGGTGGTGTAATTGGTCACAGTTGTAGACCTAGAGGAAGAGATGGTGTAAGTGGTGGTGTAATTAGTCACAGTTCTAGAGAAAGAGATCGAGTAAAAGGTGGTGTAATTAGTCACAGTTCTAGAGAAAGAGATCGAGTAAGGGGTGGTGTAATTTGTCACAACTGTAGAGTAAGAGATGGTGTAAGTGGTAGTGTAATTAGTGACACTTGTAGAATAAGAGCTGTTATATGTGGTAGTGTAATTGGTCTTAGTTGTAGAGTAAGAGATGTGGAAAGTGGTGATGCAATTAGTCACAGCTGTAGAGAAAACATGGAGTAAGTGGTGGTTTAATAAGTCACGGTTGTAGAGTAAGAGGTGTAGTAAATGGTGGTGAAATTAGTCACAGTTTTAGAGTAGGAGATGGTGTAAGTGGCGGTGAAATTACTCACAGCTCTAGATTAAAATTTGTAGTAAGTGGCGAAGTAAATAGCCACAGCTGGGGAGTAAGGGTGAAGTAAGTGGTGGTGTACTTATTCACAGTGGTAGAGTAAAGAATGGTATAAATGGTGTTGCAATTACCTACCATTATAGATTTAGAGGTGGCTTAACTGGTGGTTTAAGTACTTCACTGTTGTATAGTAAGAGATGGTGAAAGTGGTGGTGTAATTAGTCACAGTTGTAGATTGAGAGTTAGGGTAAGTGGCGGTGTAATAAGTCACAGTTGTAGAGTAAGAGGTCGGGTAAGTGGTGATGTAATAATTCACAGTCGTAGAGTAGGAGATGGTGAAAGTGGTGGCGTAATAACTCAGAGTTGTAGAGCAAGAGGTGGAGTAAGAGGTGGAGTAAGAGGTGGTATAATTACTAACAGTAGTAGAGTAAGAGGTTTGGTAACTGGTGGTGTAATTAGTCACAGTTGTAGAGTATGAAATGGAGTAAGTGGTGGTGTAATTGCTCACAGTTGCAGAGTAAGAGGTGGGGTAAGTTGTGGTTTAATAATTCACAGTTGTAGAGTAAGAGATGGTGTAGGTGGTGCAGAAATTAGTCATAGTTGTAGAGTGGAATAAATGGTGGTGTTTTTAGTCAGAATTGTAGATTAAGAGGTGTAGTAAGTTGTTCTGTAATTAGTCATAGTTTAAGAGGAAGATATGGTGGAAGTGGTGGTGTAATAAAACACTGTTGTAGAGTAACAGATGGTAAAAGTGGTGGTGTAATTCGCCACAGTTGTAGGAGTAAGTCATGGTGTAATAAATCACAGTTGTAAAGTAAGAGGTGGAGTAAGTAGTGGTATAATTAGTCATAGTTTTAGAGTAAGAGGTGGGGTAAGTGGTGAGGTAATAAGTCACAGTTAAAGAGCAAGAAGTGGAGTAAGTGGCGTTTTAATAAGTGACAGTTGTAGAGTAGCATATGGAGTAAGTTGTAATGCAATTATTCACAGCTGTAGAGTAAGATTTCTAGTAAGTGGTGGTGTAATCAGTCTTAGTTGTACAGTAAGAGGTAGAATAATATAAGTGGTGGTGGAATTAGTCACAGTTGTAGAGTAAGAGATGGAGTAAGTGGTAATGTAATAAGTCACAATTGTACAGAAGTAGCTGGAGTAAGTGGTGGTGTAATTAGTCACAGTTATAGAGAAAGAGGTTGAGGAATTGGCCGTTTAATTAGTCCAGTTGTAGAATAAGAGGTGTAGTAAGTTGTGGTATAATTAGTCACATTTGTAGAGTAAGAGGTGGAGTAGGTGGTGGTGATGTAATTCTTAACGGTTGTGGAGTAAGAGATGGTGTATCCTGATTTTGGTGTACGATTGATTAGTCACAGTTGTATATCTAGAGTAAGAGGAGGAGTAAGTGGTAGTGTAATTATTAACAGTTGTAGGGTTAGAGGTGGAATAAGTGGTGGTGGAATAAGTCACAGTTATAGAGTAAGAGGTGGTAAATGTTGTAAAGTATGAGGTGGAGTAAGTGTTGGTGTAATAAGTCAGAGTTGTAGAATAAGAGGTGGGGTAAGTGGTGGTGTAATTAGTCAGTTATAGAGAAAGGGTGGGATTAATTGACGGTTTAGTAAGTCCAGTTGTAGAGTAACAGGTGCAGTACGTGGTGGTGTAACAAGTCACAGTTGTACTGAAATAGGTGAATTTAGCGGTGGTGTAATAATTCACAGGTGTAGAGTATGAGGCGGAGTAAGTGGTGGTGTGATCAGTAACGAACAGTTGTGGAGGTGGAGTAAGTGGTAATGGAATGAGGTAAGAAGTGTAGTAAGGGAGAGTATTATGGTAAGATATTGAATAAGAAGGACAGTAGTGGAATTAGTGATTTTTGAAAAGTAAAAGTAGTTGTGGATTAACGACTAACAGATTTAAGAGACAGCGGTATTGATAAAGTTAAGTAAGAAAAGTGGCATGTTTAGCAGTGTTAGGGAAAGAGATGGCTTAGTTGTAGAGGTTCAGTATTGAGAAGCAATAGCAAATGATTTCAGGAAACGACAATGGAATTATTGTAGAAACTCTATATAACTATCGAAGAAATAATTGCAGATAAAAAGTTTTATTGATGTTTCAATTTAATCTATTTTTTGCAGGGCCTAAATAAAGACATTTCAGTGATGCGAGCTGTGGAGAGACAATTTACCAATACTTTGTAAATGTAGAAAAGCCATCAGTGCGCAGTTTGTGAAAGCCCACTAACCATGGTAACCGAGAANTTGATATTTTTCACTTGGTCGGAAAATACATTAGTCACAGCTTGAAAACCATGCCAGACGTAAATTGAAATGCTGTGCAAAATACATACTTAAGACGTCAACATCATAACGTCCGCCTCTGCATTCAGGAAATATCTTTGCCGTAATAAAATAACAAGAAGTCAACAGTCAGTCAACCATGTTGTAAACGGTTAGTTTAATTTAAAAATTTATCTCATTGTGATGTAGACTGAGTGGGCCAAAATTAAAAACAATGTAGATTGTATTTCTTTATGTTGTATTCCTTATCAAATGCTGAAATCAGATTTCATGTTCATGTCATTTATGGTCATGTCATGTATTTTAGGCAACTGTAATTGTTAAAAACAACTACCACTGACTAAACATCTACAACACACACTGCCTGTACAACATCAGGTATAGACTCGACTATTGCTAACGACTGGTAGAGAATTTAGAATTAATTGTATATATGATTGAGCATTCAGAGAGTTAACGAGGGTAGAATACGTGATAGTTGAAGACAATGATCAAGTAATGACATTGGTTATAATTCTAAGAGAAGAGAGAGGTGCTGGAGTTACTGTTACTTATATAGTTAATCTAAAAATTATAAATTAAACTGTAAGAAGTGATGTCACATACATTTCTAAAGAAACGTAGAAGTTAAATTACTGATGACGGCACTTAAAGTTCGGGTGATTGTTAAGTTCAGAAGAATTAGTTCCAGTGGAAGGGTAAGAGATGGAGTAAGCAGTGGTGTAATTAGCCACAGTTGTAGAGAGAAACATGGAGTAAGTGGTGGTGAAATTAGTCAAAGTTGTAAAGAAAGAGATGTCGCAACTGGTGACGTAATTAGTCACGATTGTCGATCTAGATAAAGAGGTCGAGTAAGTGGTGGTGTCATAAGTCACAGTTGTAGAGTAAGATATGGTGTAAGTGGTGTTGTAATTTCTCACAGTTGTAGATTAAGAGGTGTCGTAAAATTCGTCAAAATTATAGAGTAAGGGTGGAGAAAGTGGTGGTGTAATTACTGTCAGTGATAGAATAAAATATGGTGTAAATAGTGCTGTAGTTGCTCACAGTTGCTGATGAAGACGTGGTGTAAGTGGTTGTGTAATTAGTCACAGTTGTAGAGTAAGAAATGGAGTAAGAGGTTTTGTAATAAATCACAGTTGTAGAGTGAGAGATGGTGTAAGTGGTAGTGTAATTAGTCACAGTTGTAGAGCAAGAGGTGGAGTAAATGGTTGTGTAATTAAGAGTGGAGTAAGTGATGGTGTAATTCCTCACAGTGATAATGAAAAGATGGTATAAATGGTGTTGTAATTACTCAGAGTTGTAGATTAAGAGGTGGAGTAGATGGTTGTGCAATTAGTCACAGTTAACTTTGTAGAGTAAGAGATCGTGTAAGTGGTAGTCTAATCAATCACAGCTGTGAAGTAAGAGATGGTGAAAGTGCTGGTGTAATAATTCACAGTTGTTGAATGAGAGATGGAGTAAGTGGTCGTGTAATTAGTCACAGTTGTAGTGTAATTAGCATTAGTTGTCAAATAAGAGATCTTGAAAGTGGTGATGTAATTAGTCAAAATTGTAGAGAAAAACATAGAGTACGTGATGGTGTAATTAGTCACAGTTTTAAAGTAAGATATGGTGAAAGTGGTCAGTCACTGTTGTAGAGTAACAGATTGTACAAGTAAAGATGTAATTACTCACAGTTGTAGAGTAAGAGATGGAGAAAGTTGTGGTGTAATAAGTCACGGTTCCAGAGTAAGATAGGCTGTAAGTGGTGGTGTAATTTGTCACTGTTCTGGAGTAACAGATTGTACAAGTGGTGCTGTAATAAGTCACAGTAATAGACTAAGAGATGGAGTAAGTGGTGGTGTAATTAGTCGTTGAAGAAGTCGTTGAAGAGTCAGATATGGTGTAGGTGGTACTGTAATTAGTCACTGTGGTAGAGTAAGATATGGTGTAAGTGGCGGTGTAATAAGTCACCGTTGTAGAGTAAGATATGGTGTAAGTGGTGGTGTCATTAGTCAAAGTTGTAGAGTAAGAGGTAGAGAAAGTGTGGGTCTAATTGATCACAGTTGTAGAGTAAGAGGTGGAGGAAAGTGGCGGTGTAATAAGTCACAGTTGTAGAGTAAGAGGTGTTGCAACTATCAGTGGGAGCAGTAATCATCGTTTCAGAGCAAGAGATACTGAAACAGGTGGTGTAATCATACTTACAGTTGAAAGGTAAGAGATAAAGTAGGTGGCGGAGTAATTAGTCACAGTTGTAAAGTAATAGATGGAGTTAGTGGTGGTGTAATTACTAACAGTCTTAGATTAAGAGGTGGTGTAATTAGTCACAGTTGTAGAATAAGAAATGGTGTAAGTGGTGCTGTAATTAGTTACAGTTGTAGGGTAAGAGGTGGTGTAAGTAGTGGTGTAATTAGTTACAGTTGAAGAGTGAGAGATGGTGTAAGTGATGGTGTAATTAGGAACAGTTTTCGCGTAAGAGATGGTGTAAGTGGTGTTGTAATTAATAACAGTTGTTGCGTAAGAGGGAGTGTAAGTACTGTTGTAATAAGTAACAGTTGTAGAGTAAGAGGTGGTTTAACTGGTGGTGTAATTAGTCACACTTGTAAAGTAAGGGGTGGAGTAAGTGTTGGTGGAATTAGTGACAGTTGTACAGAAATAGATGTAGTAAGTGGTGATGTAACTAGTCACAATTGTAGAGTAAGAGGTGGAGTAAGTGGCTGTGCAATTAGTGACAGTTGTAGAGTAAGAGATTGTGTAAGTGGTGGTGTAAATTGTCACAGTTGCAGAGTAATAAATGGTGTAAGTCTTGGTTTAATAACTTACAATTGTATTGTAAGATCTAGAGGTGGTGTAATTAGTGACTGCTGTAAAGTAACAGATGGTGAAAGTGGTGGTGTAAATTAGTTACATTTGTAGAGTAAAAGGTGGTTATGAGTAAGTGGTGGTTTATTGAGTCACAGTTGTAGAGTAAGAGTTGGTGTTATTAGTCACTGTGGTAGAGTAACAGATGGTACAAGTGTTGGTGTAACTAGTCGCAGTTGTAGAGTAAAAGATGGCATAACTGGTGGTGTCATTATACTCACAGTTTTAGAGTAAGAGGTGTAGTAAGTGGTGGTGTAATTAGACACATTTACAGAGCAAGAAATGGAGTAAGTTGTGTAATTATTCACAGCTGTAGACTAAGATTTGTAGTAAGTGGTGGTGTAATTAGTCTTAGTTGTGGAGTAAGAGGTGGAGTAAGTGGTGGTGTAATTACCCACAGTGGTAAAGCAAAAGATGGTATAAGCGGTGTTGTAATTACTCAGAGTTGTAGATTAAGAGGTTGTGTAAGTGGTTGTATAATTGCTCACAGTTGTAGAGTAAGAGTTAGAGTAAGGGGTGGTGTAATAAATCACAGTTGTAGAATAAGAGATAAAGAGAGTAGAGTGTAGAGTAAGAGGTGTAGTAAGTCGTGGTGTAATTAGTCACAGTTGAGGAGTAACAGGTGGAGAAAGTGGTGGTGTAATACGTTACAGTTGTAGATTAAGAGGTGAATTAAGTGGTAGTCTGACATGTAATTGGTTACAGCTTTAGAGTAAGAGGTGGAGTAAGTGGTAATTTGATGGGGTAAGAAGTCTAGTAAGGGAGAGTATTAGGGTAAGATATTGAATAAGAAGTACAGTAGTGGAGTTAACGATATCAGAGATTTTGAAAGTAAAAGTAGTTGTGGATTTACGACTAGCAGATTTAAGGGGACAGTGGTATTGGTAAAGTAAGTATAGTGGCATGTTTAGCAGCATTAGGGAAAGAGGTAGAGTTAGTTGTAAAGGTTTAGTATTTAGAAGCAATAGCAAATGATTTCATAAAACGACAATGGAATTATTATAGAAACTCTATATAACTATTCAAGAAATAATTTATTTACAGATAAAACGTTTTACTTATGTTACAATTGCATCTTTTTTTTGCAGGGCCTACATAAATACATTTCAGTGATGCGAGCTGTGTAGAGAGAATTTGCCATTACTTTGTATAGGCTAGAAACTAAAGCCATCAGTTCGCAGTTTGTGAAAGCCCACTAACCATAATAGCCAAGAAGAGAGTAACTGACCTGCCTATGATATAAGAACCTAGAATAACAATGAGCTTATTAGCAGCCAATAGCGCTTAAGAGGTTAGCAGAAACACTGGTGTTTTGTAAAATGCTCTTCGGTTACGCCCCGAGTTGTGGGACACAAGATACAGAAGTAGCAGACAACGCGTGTAAGAACCCAGTGATTTAAGAACCTACTGGTTGAAATTTGCCATTTTAAAACCCAAAAATCTAAGAACAAACTGTTTAGCCAGGCTAGATCAAACAGATTTTTATATTTGGGTTACAGTTAAATTAAGCCGGACAAACCTTTTAACCAAGGAGTGTGACTTTGAGATTACACATTTATATTACAAGAAAATACATAATACAGTACAGAATAGATTAAACCCAAGTTTATTCATTTTTTCTTG